AGAGGGCCCCAAGACGGCCGAAGAGGGTCCCAAAACTGCCCAGGAGGCGCCCAAGATGGCCAAAGAGAGCTCCAACTGGGCCCCAAGAGGGGCCCAAGAGAAGGAGTTCGAAGTGACATTCCGAGCCCTCCGCCCCAAGAGGACCCCCGAGACCGCCAGCAGGCGCCCAAGCAACTCCCAATGGGGCGGGCCCGAAGAGGCCGCCGGGAGGCCCAAAAAACTGCCCCCAGGGGGTCCCCGAGGGGCCCCGAGAGGCCCCATCCGAGGACTCCATCCATCGTCTGGGGGTCGGCGGAATGGCGCAAGCCTCTTGAATCCGCCCGCCCACGGGGCGGCGCCCATGATTAGAGCCGGCGCTGGAAGGGAAGATGGGGAGGGTGTATGAAAAGGAGGGAAGAGGGAAAGGCCCCAAAGAAGTCCCCAAGAGGCCAAAAGAAACTCCCAGGAGGCCTCCAGGAGGCCCCGAAAAGGCTCCCAAGAGGCCCCGCGACGACGTGACTGTACGTGCTCCGGACGTGCACCCCGCGAAGCGAGAGGAATCCGCCCGCCCACGGGGCTAAGGCGCGCGTGGGAGTTGACTGCGAGAACTCCCATGGCTTTAGCCCCACCCCTTCTGCCCCCCCCGCCGGAAGCCTCCGCCATTCCGCCGCCCGGCTGCGTCCATTCCCCTCTGCGGTCCCGAAGGCGGCTCCAGGACGGCTTCCAAGAGGACATCGGCTTTCAAATCGTTCTGGAGACGCATTTGGGACGTACTTCGGCTCCATTTCGGCCCCGTCGGACTCCCTTCTGGGCCTTGAAGATCGACACCTCGGGCCCTCAAGAGCGCCTCCTCGGCCCACTCTCGCCGAAAGCTGGACAGCCGAATAGTATCGCAAATAACACGGTTGTTTGACGATTTGAGCTTCCTCGGGGGTGTCCACGACGCCTCCTACGTCTGACTTCCGGGCTCGTATGGAATATTCTGCATCATACAAATTTGGACGCCGTTTTGGGGCGCCCTTCGGCATTTTGGACGATTCGGGGCCCAACTTGGGCCCAAAAACAAATCCCAGAGCAGCCCAGAACCGGCCCGGCTTTTACTGCAAAACGGAGGGGGCTGCCACCCAACACGGAGGTGCTGTCGCTTTGGCCATCCTGGGGTTCCCTCGGGCCGCCTCCAGCCCTCGTGGGCCCTCGTTTGGACCCTCTTAGGGGCACAATTCGGCCCCTGCGGGCGCCTTTCGGCCCGTCTCCGGGCCCTCTTCGGCTGTCTGTCCGCCTCGGAACTGCTCCTGGGAGACGTCGAGCGATTCGCGGACCCTCGCACGATTCCTCCTCTCGCTGCGCGGGGCTCTTCCCCCAGTCCCAACTGGCGGTGTACGCAACTACGTATCCATCCATACACCTTCGTATCTATCGGTCCCATTGTCTGCCAAACCATCCAGCTGTCTCTCAACGTACCTGTCCAGTTCGATCCATCTCACTATGAAAATACACATCTCACTACACATGTACCTACCCAACTTACGACTCAACCATCCGGGGTGTCCATCGGGACAGCCTCCGAAACAACAGACCGGGACGACCATCGGACCAGCACTCGGGCGTACATCAGAACCACCACTGGCCCGTCTTCGAACACGCATCCCACGTCCTAGGAAACCCGTCTCAGTAGAGGGCTAACAATCCAGCCCCCTACTAACCACCCCGACACGCGAAGCCGTTTGCTAAACGCCCCCACTGAAGGAATCGAACAGGGCAGGGCTCTTTAGTGAACGCCCAAGGCCGTTTAGTCAACGCCAATTGTCCTGTCCAGGTGGCTTTTCCTCCCCTGACTCAAGCTTGCACGCACCCCCGCGGACCCCCAATATAGCAGGCTCACTCGCCCGCGGCCATCTGCAGCTACGCGCGACCTCCACGACACGACGCCTCCTGCGCGGACTGGCGCCCGTGCAACGGCTCGCCCACATGAGAAATCGACGATCGAGGAGACACGAGGCATCCCTGAGCCAAGTACGCGATGGGATGGAGAAGAAATGGAGCGCAGGTCTTTAAACAAAACAGGACATACTTATATAAGCCTGCGGGAGGGCATTTTACTGTTTCGGAACATGCTAATCCAAGGACCGACCACAACGATGTTTGAAACGCGCTGGCGTTTCGAACAAAAACCAAAACGAACCCGACCGTTGTACAACGAACGTTTAAAACAAAACCGGTGCCAACGAAAACGAAAAACGAAACGAGGTCACCGCTCATAGAGGACGGGATTCGCAGCTAATCCCGTCTTGGAACCTTCGCCTCGTCCGGCGAGAACTGCAATGGGTGGGCGGTGAACGCGACGCGTCTTGAATAATGCGGACATCACATGATCCAGCCGCACAACAAGGTTGCCATCGGACCACACACATGGAGACCGCCAGGTGATCCGGCCATCTGATCCCAAACGACGGGGTGCTCTTGGGGGCAGGCATCATCCGGGAAAAAAAATTAAATATCGAAGGAGGGTCTGCCGTCTGACCACAAAGGAAGAAATGCTCAAGAGACCATACTACCTGACCACAGCCGCGGCAATCATCGGGGCCCCTATCATATGTTCCCCGATGCAAAGGACGGTGAACAGGGCAGTGCCCGCATGGGTGTCCGCACGAGGGGACTCAGCGGGGCGCGGCCGGAGCGCCTAACTATATTGCAACAACCACAGCAAGCCTTACGGCATTTGGCTCGTGGGTGAGGAATTTGGCTCCCCGCTGCAGACGTGGCTCGGGTACCTTTCCGTCTGACCACAGACACAAGAATGGTTTGGAGATCGTGGAGCTTGGAAGCGCGCCGCGAGCATGGGAACTTCCCGCGAGCCAGAGTCCGTTCAGTAGAAGACAACGGATCCCTCCATATAAGCACTGTCTAGGTAGGACACGACGACGCACTAAAAACATTGAGACAAGCTTGTCGTTTATATCCTCCTCCCTTTCGCCAATGCCCGTTCGTAGGGCCGCAATGCGCCCGCGCAGTCCAAGCTAGAGCTAGTGCCAGCCTTTATCGTACCAAAGGGCGGCGGCACCTCGCGGCACGCGCACAGGTCAGACGCAAGGACACTCGCAGCTCCACGCAGGAGGAGAAATATATATAGTTACATATACATATACATATATGTATACATACATATACATATACATATACATATAAAATACATGCATACATACATACATACATACATACATACATACATACATACATATACATACATACACACATGCATACATACATGCATATATACAAACATACATACATATGAATATGTGTATATATATATACAGTTACCTCTCCCCATGGCGAGGCCGATCGTGCACACCAGACACCACGCTGATGCAGATGGCCCAGACATACATGCCAAACACCACCACCTCGTCTGGTGATCTCTGGTGAGGGCACAGCGAAAACCTCGGGACCTCCACACGCACGTAAATACGTGGCTACGCGGAGCTTCCGACCAAGCAACGCAACGCTACATCTCATCGGTAATACCGAGCACCCTCGCTGCGTCTCCGATCGCGTTGGCTGACATGCGCCTCTTGACTGGCACCACTTGACCTCGCACGTGTCACAAGCCGAGACACGTCATAACACACAACAGTCGAAAAAACACAACGGATGCAAGCCGGGACGCGATAACTAGAGTCAGCGCTGACCCAGGTCAGAGCAGGCCATGTCGCGAACCCAGGCCTGTCGCACTGTAGCTCGCGGGTCCAGGTCAGCGGAGGGAGGGGAGGGGGGCCCGATCCACATGGCTTCCAACCCAGGTCAACCAGAGGGTAGCCCAGGGGATGACCAGACCCCCGCTAGAAATTACACACCGTCCCAAAATCTCCGACGTGTCTAAAATCCCGGCGCTCATTGTCGTTTTCGGCAGCTGGTGGCCGCGCTATCGAGCCCTGGAACCAGAAATACAATCCGGACGACAAGGCCTCTAGGGCCGCGCATGGAAAACACACATTTTTTGGTTTGGTCTGCGGGGCGGGAGCGAACCTCTTCCGGTTAAAAGCTAGGCGGGCTACGCACAGCTCTAGTTGGGGAGACAGAGCACAAGCGGGCGGGGGCTCAAGCGGCCGGAGGGCGGGCCGGGGTGCAGGCGGTGCCGAGGAGCTTGCACAGGAAAAGGAACGCCTTGGACAGGAGCTGGAGGCGAAGATCCGGAGGGTGAGAGGTGCGGTGTTGCCGTCAACGGCACTTCGTAAACACCATCCTCAAGTGCTAAAAACATATATATATATATATATATATATATATATATACACACACGCACACTTCCTCGGGTGTCACCTGTGCCCCGGGCGTTCCTGGGCGGGGTGAGCTCTCAGGCCCCTGTCGGCGGTCCACAGGCGATCGGGTGTCGCTGCGAGGAAGCACTCTGCTCGCCAGCGGCCGCTCGGGACGATCTGGGCACCCCAGGAACGCTCTCCGGCGAGGCGCAGCCGCTGGAAGGCGTCCCGAGGCTGCAGGACCACCGACAGCCGACGAAAACCTCCGGATGCCACTCGAACCTCAGACCCCCCGAGCCTCCCGCCTCCCCGGCGTTTCGGCGGCGACGCCAAGGGCGAAGAGCCCAGGGGCGGGCATTACTCGCACTCGCCTGGGAGCCTTGTCGAAGACATGGATCATCGGCGCCACTGGACACACGTATTGCTCTCCCCTGGGCTATTCGCCCCTCTATCGTCGCCTCTGAGCGTTGCCCCCCTGGCGTAGCACGCAGCGCAGGGAACGGGTCCCGAGAGGGAGGCGGGCCCTGGGCCCCAGGGCCCTCCCTGGGAGGCGCCAGGACATACTGGTACTACTATATTGAAGGGGCCCCAGGAAACAAATAAATACACACAAATAAAATGATTCCCCATATTTTCTGGGTTTTTGTTTTCCCGCCCAATTCCTATATTTCCCCATATTTTCTGGGGAATCGACGATTAGTTGTGTCTGTGTGTTTTTTCCCCTCCTGATGTGTGTCCTCCCTGGAACCGCGCGTCCGACCCGAGCATGCGGTGTGCAACCATCCTGTGGTACATCGTGTCCCGAGCGGTGTGGCCAGGAAGCGCCCGCCACGACGCCTATACTAGAAGATTTCTCGGTGCGCGCGTCGCCCCTGGGGGGAGGGGGGGGGCGCCGCGCGCACTCCCCCAGGACCATCTCTTCTCCCTGAGTTGTGGCCTGACAGTCCTGGGGCCCGCGGAGGCCGCAGGAGCCCGAAGGTGGTGAGAAAGCTCAAGACCCGTTTCTGTCAGGACCGGGTTCCTTCATGGCCATCCGGCAGGTCAAGCGAGCCTGCCGGTGCTTGGCGGCGCGCAGAGGCGCCGGCCTCACGTCTATAGAAAAGGCCCGCCCCTTCTGGGAAGCAAGGGGTGCTTCCAAGAAGCCGTCCCCCCCTCCCTGGAGGCGGTGGGATCTGTACGCATCCACTGCACCAGGCCTGGCGCATCCTGGGCCCAGGAGCAGTGTGTCGTGTGTGCGTGCCTCCCTGGCCGAGCCAGGAGGTCGTAGAGCACCACTCCTGGGCCCAGGAGGGGCCGGCCCTGTGGTACGTTTCCTAAAAAGGGACGCCAGCGAAAGGGACCTCTGAGACCGCGGCGTTGCCTCTCAGACGGACCTCCGAGAAGTGCGGGTGACGGCGCCGTGCGGCGACCCTGTGGGCGAAGCCCAGCGGTCTTGAGAAATCGGCACCGCCCGTCTCAAAAGTCCCTTCCTGACTACCTACCAGACCACCCCAACCCAACCCGAAGACCCGAATTTTGGGTTGGGGGGGGTATGGGCTCCATATGTGTTTTTTCGATATTCCCGGACCCCCCCCACTAGAAATCGAGGGTGAATCCGACCCTTCGGGTTGGGTTGGGGTGGTTTGGTGGGTGGAGACTTCCCCTGGGGCCCCTTTGGGAACCGCACGAGCCTGGGGCAGCGGACCTGTCCACGGAGCCCGCCGCCCTGGCACAAACCACATCGACCTGCTGCAGACCCCCTTGAGCAGGGACCGACCGTCCCGGCATTCCCGTAGTCCTACCACGAAATGTTCTCAGAACCCCGATATGTTCTAAGGACAAAAACGAAACTCTTAGAGCATAAACCGGGTGTGTTAAAACAAGACAATCTCTGGCCCCTGCTTGATCCCCTGGCCCGACCGACTGGTGCCCCTTTCCGGGCACGAGGGCCCCACGAAGAGGCGAGCCGGCGCGCGAGCGCGACACGCCCTTCGAGGAGCAGCTGCGCGCCCTCGAGGAGCTACCTTTATGGCGGGCGTGTCCCCCCACAGCGGCATTTTTTTTCGACGAAAAATAGAAAATAAAATAAGGGCCAAAAAACACTCAAAAAAGAGTCCCCAGACTATTTTTGGACTATCTTTTGATTATTTTGGGGGTATGTTTTATTTGTCCTTGAAAATCCCCCTGTAGGGGGTCAGGCCCAGGGCCCTCGAAGAGGCGAGCCAGCCTCACGAAAAGGCGAGCCCTTCGAGGAGCAGCTGCGCGCCCTCGAGGAGCTACCTGCAAGGGGGGCGGAGCGCAGCCGAGGCCGCGGCCGGCGCCCTTGCCGCGCCCGCCGCCCTTGGCGCGGCCGTCCTGCGGGGAGGAAGCGCCCGCCCTCGAGGGGCGCTCCCGCGTGATGGGCCTGCTCTCCACCGCCACCACCAGAAGTTGGAGGGGGGGAGGAGGCGGGGGACGAGGAGGAGGAGGACTCAGAGGACTCAGAGGAGGAGGAGGAGGAGGAGGAGGAGGAGGAGGAAGAGGAGGAGAGGAGGGAGGAGGAGGGGAGGAGTGGGGAGGAGGGGGAGGAGGGGGGGAGGCGGAGGAGGAGTAGAGGAGGAGATGAGGAGAGGCAAGAGGAGACAAAGAGAGGAGGAGAAGGAGGAGGAGGAGGAGGAGAGCCCCCTCCTCCTCCAACTTATGGTGAGCTGGTGGAAACCAGGCTTGTCACCGCGTCCCCCCGCGCCCTGCCGGCGGGTCCACGCCCGCCATCTTACCACCCCTCCGTCCTGGAGGGGGCCCAGGGGGACGCCCTGAGCAGCCGGCACGAGGCCCAGGATCCCCGAGATGACCTGTCTGTACGTGTCCCTGCCCGTCGTCTGCCCCCGTCCGCCCCCCCCCGTCCTGGAGGGGGCCCAGGGGGGCGCCCGAAGCAGCCGGCACGAGGCCCAGGATCCCCGAGATGACCTGTCCGCACGTGTCCTGGCCCGTCGTCTGCCCCCGTCCGCCCTCCCCCGTCCTGGAGGGGGCCCAGGGGGGCGCCCGAAGCAGCCGGCACGAGGCCCAGGATCCCCGAGATGACCTGTCCGCACGTGTCCTGGCCCGTCGTCTGCCCCCGTCCGCCCCCCCCCGCCCTGGAGGGGGCCCAGGGGGACGCCCTGAGCAGCCGGCACGAGGCCCAGGATCCCCGAGATGACCTGTCCGCACGTGTCCTGGCCCGTCGTCTGCCCCCGTCCGCCCCCCCCCGCCCTGGAGGGGGCGGAGGGGGGCGCCCGAAGCAGCCGGCACGAGGCCCAGGATCCCCGAGATGACCTGTCCGCACGTGTCCTGGCCCGTCGTCTGCCCCCGTCCGCCACCCCCCGTCCTGGAGGGGGCCCAGGGGGGCGCCCGAAGCAGCCGGCACGAGGCCCAGGATCCCCGAGATGACCTGTCCGCACGTGTCCTGGCCCGTCGTCTGCCCCCGTCCGCCACCCCCCGTCCTGGAAGGGGGCCCTGGGGGACGCCCGGAGCAGCCAGCACGAGGCCCAGGATACCCCCAGGCCCCAACGGACCTGATCGCAAACCACACCCAGGCGAAACTACACCCGTGGTCCGTGGTAGTCGCCGATCGAAGCTCGGCATCCCAGCGACAATTCAGGACGATCCAGACAGCCCCAGCACGCGCTCGGCGAGGCTCAGCCGTTGGATCGAGTCCCGACGCTGGAAAACCGACGAAAGCAGACGAAAAACGCTCGAAAGTCTCGAGCCACTCGAGGAGGTTGGGGCGTATACTGTTTGCTCTTCTTCTAGAGGCCTCCCAGATGGGGTCGGAGCAAATGGGGTCGGACTCATCGGCGATGCTCGGTCGACGTCGGCGATGCATCGGCGACGTCGGCGTGGAGATGTTCGGGCTCCACACCGAGCGGCAGCGCTGATGCATCGGCGATGCAGTGCGATCCTCCGACCCCATAAACCCAGACCCCATGTGAAAGGCGTTGCTCTTCTTCAGAGTTCCTAGAAGAGACTGCATAAACATACACCTTCGGAACTCCGCGCAGATGTCTTAGATCGGCGCCGACAGGGGGGTTCAAAACAGATCCAAGAAATCCGCGCGAAACTCCGAAAGCTTACTTCATGTTGTGGCTTCTTATTCGAAAATCTGGCCACCGACCTCTCGACCGCTTTCCGGGCCCGGCTTGTCACCCCGAGTCGTTTTTAGACGGCCCCGAGGGCCGGAAAGGACCCCGAGAGGCAGAAAATCCATGAAACACCTCCGCCTCGACGTTGTCGAGACGCCAGGGGAACGATGAAAGAAAAACTGGTCTTACTTTTTTGATCGGCGGCCCGCAAGGAAAAGTCCAGAGGGCGAGTCAATCAGGCAAGCTGGGGCACAGTGCCAGATAATTCAGCTGCCACAGAAAAAAACTGGTCCTACGCGAGATGCCGCGGCGACCGTACCCGTTGGCGTACGCGGGTCGACAGCGCGGCCCACCGCGTGAGGGACGAGGGCGCTCACGCGCGACCTTGCGCGGGCAGCTCGTGCGCGACCGTCGGCGCCAGCCCTACTGACTACTACCAGACCACCCCAACCCAACCCGAAGACCCGAATTTCGGGTTGGGGGGGGATAAGGGTTCCACATGCGTTTGTTCGATGTTTCCCGAACCCCCCCCCCACTGGAAATCGAGGGTAAATCTGAGCCTTCGGGTTGGGTTGGGGTGGTTTGGTGGGTGGTGGCCTACATCTGCAGAGAAGGCCCGCGCCTTCTAAGAAGCAGCTGTGCCTTAAAGATCGGGGAGACGTGAGACTCGGGTTCGGGGGACTCGGGCTGGCCTGGCGGGGGCGCCATGAAAGTGACGAGGCCCAGTCTGAAATTGCACGCGAGCTCCCGCTGCAGACATCCCGCGAAAACTGGACAGCCAGAAGCCAGGACGCGATCCTCGAGAAGCGTCGGCGACCCCGAGCTAGGAGGAGGAGGAGGAGGAGGAGGAGGAGAAGGAGGAGGAGGAGGAGGAGGATTGAGCAGGGACCGACCGTCCGGGCAGTCCTAGAGCCCTACCACGAGTTCTTAGAACCCAAAAATATTCCAAGGACAAAACAATGTGCTTAGAACATAAACCCGATTAGATACAACAAGACAGACTCCGCCAGAAATGCTCTTTGAACATTTCGTGGTAGAACATTGCTTGGTAGGGCTATAGGCGAGCCAGGACGCTTCGCCACTGCTTGACAGGAGGACGAGGGCGAGGAGGAGGAGGAGGAACGAGGAACGAGGAACGGAGGACGAGGACGAGGAGGAGGAGGAGGAGGAGGACGAGGAGGAGGAAAAGGAGGAAAAGGAGGAGGAGGAGGAGGAGGAGGAGGCGCATCCGAGTCCCAAGTTCTTCCCGAGAAGAGGCCTTCCCCCCTCTCTGGCGGCGAGCGAGGGGGAGAAGTGAGAAGCAGAAGGCCTCCTCAGAAGGCGGCGGAACTTCTCCGAAGCCCTCTGGCCTTCTGACAGGTGTTCTGTGTCTTCTGACTACCTACTAGACCACCCCAACCCAACACGAATACCCGAATTTTTCCTGAATTTCGGGTTTGGGGGGGTACGGGTTCCATGTGTTTTTTTCTGTGTTCCCCGACCCCCCCCCACTGGAAATGGAAGGCAAATTAAGGCCTTCGGGTTGGGTTGGGTTGGGGTGCTTTGGTGGGTGGTGATCTTCGGGGCAGGCGTAGAAAGCTTCTCAGAAGGCCCGGGGACTTCCGAGAGCCTTCTGGGAAGGCCTGGCCCCTTCTCACTTCCCCCCCCGCTCGCCGCCGACCCTCCTCATGTCCCCTCCTCCACCTCCTCCGCCTCCTCCCCTCCTCCTCCTCCTCCTCCTCCTCCTCCTCCTCCTCCTAGCCTTCTGCCTCCTGCCTCCTCCTCCTCCTCCTCCTCCCTCCTCCTCCTCCTCCTCCTCCCTCCTCCCCCTCCTCCTCCTCCTCCTCCTCCCCTCCTCCTCCTCCTCCTCCTCCTCCTCCGCCTCCACCTCCTCCTCTCCTTCTCCTCCTCCGCCTCCTCCTCCGCCTCCTGCTCCGCCTCCTCCCTCCGCTCCTTCCCTCCTCCTCTCCGCCTCCTCCTCCTCCTCCTCCTCCCCCGCCACCTCCTCCTCCTCCTCTGCGAGTGGCCGAGCCCCGCCCGGCCTGCATCGGCGGCGCCATCGCCTCCGCGGGGGGCGCGCTCGCGGAGAGCGAGCGGACCTCGCGGCGCCCCCGCCGGCGGGGCGCGCCGCAGCGCCCGAAGGGCGGCGGCGGCCGCGGGGCGCGCGCGCGCGCCTGCCGCGGACGCCGCGGCTTTGGGCCCCAAAGGGCTTGGCGACCCTGCGCCGACCGGCCTGCGGGGCTCACGCCCGAGAAGTCCAGGCGGATGCAGATGGATCGAGTGAGGCCCAGGCAAAAAGCTCGGCAGGTCCGTGCAGGTCCAGGTGAAGTCCAGGGATCTCCAGTGGGGAAGCTGGAGCAGATCGTGACCGCGTCTGCGCGAGTCGAGGGACGGCAGAAGTCGTTCAGCTCTTAACGATTCGAGGAGGAGGAATAGGAGTAGAAGGAACAGGAGGACGACGGCGACGACGAGGACGACTAGGAGGCGAAGGAGAAGGGAAGCGCTCTGTCGCAGCAGATCCCTGTAGGTATGCGCACTCTGGTGTAGCAGATCCCTATAGGTGATCTGCCATCCTCGCTGTCTCTGGCTATTCCTAAGCGTTCCCAGACGGCGCCGGCGCGAAACGTGACGTCACCGGCCCCCTCCAGCCCCCCCCCCTGTAACGGCCGCTATCGTCTGGGAACTCAGAAACGCTCTCCTTCGCACGGGATAGTTCGGCCCAGCAGGAGGGCGAGGAGGAGGAGGAGGAGGAGGCGGAGGAGGAAGAGGAAGAGGAGGAGGAGGAGGAGGAGGAGCAGCAGGAGGGCGAGGGGAGCGAGGAGAACGAGGAGGAGAAGAGGAGGAGGAGGAGGAAGAGGAGGAGGAAGGCGGAAGGCGCAGAGGAGGGCGAGAGGGACGAGGAGCACGAGAGGAGGAGGAGAAGAGGCGGAAGAGGAGGAGGAGGCGAGGAGGAGAGGGAGTATAGGAGGAGGAGGAGGAGGAGAGGAGGAAGAGAGGCGGCGGCGAGGCGGGAGGCGGAGGATGGACGAGGGCTGGAGGAGGAGGAGGGGTGGCGGGGGAGCATCGATCCAACCGTGGGAGCGCGGCCGCCTGAAGCCGCCGCAGGAGGGGGAGGGCGGAAGGCCTCCAGGGGCCCAAGGACACACAAATAGATCCGCACAACTCCCAGGACTCCCCACATCTTCCCATCTCTTCTGGATTGTCGTCTTCCCCCCCCCACCACTTCCCATTTTCCCCATATTCTCCGGGGAGTCGACGATTAATTGTGTCTGTGTTTCTGTTCCCTCCTGAATCTTAGGAGGTTTGGGCGCGAATTCATGGGGGGCGATAGATAGGGGGGAAGAAAGGTGCCCTTCTCGAGCCCTCAAGGCCCCCTTTGGGCCCCCTTTGGGCCCTCAAGGGCCCCTTGCAGCACGGAGGGTAGTTGCGCAGGAACCGACCGTCCCGGCATTCCGATAGGCCTACCACGAAGTCTTTTTAGAACAAAAATAACAACACAGCGCTCTTGGAACATAGGCCCGATGTGCTAAGCCAAGACAGTCTCAGCCAGAAATGTACTGAGAACATTTCGTGCAAATCACAAATGTCCTCAGAACCTTATTTTGTGGCCCTACAGGCAAGCCAGGACGCTTCGCCACTGCTTGAGGTAGGGAGAGGGGGGAAGGCTTCTTAAAAGGAGGCTGCTTTTCAGAAGGCGCCGGCCCTGCGTCTGTAGATAAGGCCTGCGCCTTCTAAAAAGCAGGGGTGCTTCTAGGAAGCCTTCCCCTTCCCCCTGCCCCACTGCGCGCGGCTGGGTATAATGATGATCACGAGCGGCAAACGTAATCGTATCCACGCCCTTCCGGTCTAGATTCTGGAGCGCGATCCCGCGGATGCGCGGTCGCACGGATACGCTCCGAGCGGGGCATCCGCGACGAAAGACGCCCCGAATCCACGGGCCCGCGAGGCCGCGGGTACGCATGCGTTCCGCCCACGAGATCATGATGGTGAGAAGCATGAGGACTGGGGAGGATGAGCACAGGAGGGTACATAAGCGCATGAAGATGGTGAAGATGCTGGTGGTCATGATGATGCTAATGATGAGGGCGAGAGAGCTCTCACTTCCTCATCGCGTCGTGAAACAATTGCGACAGAAGGTCTTTGACAAGTGGGAGCCCTCACCGAGACCCAGGACCGTCAAAGAAATACTCGGGATGCAGATCTGGTCCCAAGGAAGACCCCCAGACCTCCGGGCATCCGCGCTGTGAACAAAAAACACGACGGCGGAGATCTGGGAGAGAAGGGACGGGGGACGAGGGAGGAGGGAGGAGAGAGGGGGGAGGAGGGAGGAGGGAGGAGGGAGGAGGGAGAGAGAGGAGGGACGAGGGAGGAGGGAGGGGGGAGGAGGGAGGGGGGAGGAGGGACGAGGGAGGGCAGACGAGCACCGGGAGGAAGGGAGGAGGGAGGAGGGACGAGGGCCAGCGGAGAGGGAGGCCCTCCCCTCGACACAGGCCTCCTGCACGACCCCGAGCCCCGAGCCCCCCGCCGTACGACCCCCTACCTTGGAAAGTGGTTCATCCTTACTATACTCTTGCGAATAGACCCTCATCGACGCTAAATCGATTCTACATCGACGCCAGTCGACGCTAAATCGACGCTGCATCGAGTCGATGTAGCGTCGAACGCTGAGACGGCGATTTCTCATCGATCACCAGACGCTAGCGCACGCTAACGCACTGTGACCTGCAAGGCTCCCATGAATCGCCACCGAACACATCCTCCTCCCTCACTCCACCCTGCTGACAAGGGAGCTGGAGGCCGGACTAGTCCGGGCATGTCCTTCTACAGGCGGAGTTTGGCAGAAAAATGTGGCATGGTCCGAAACACCAAAATATTCTTCAAACAACAACAACAACAACAACAACAACAACAACAACAACAACAACAACAAGGCAAAACAACCTGCTGGTGTACCCGGAGCCGGTCCACCAGTTCGCTGTTTTGCTCCATGTAGCGAAACAACCCACTGGTGTACCAGGACCCCCCCCCCCCCCCCCCCCCCCCCCCCCCCCCCCCCCCCCGCAAACAGAACGCCAACGCAACGCAACAGCAACGGTCTGTATGACAGCCGCTGTAGGCGTTGTGTTTCCGTTGCGGCGGGCAGGTGGGGGTTGTGTGACGACCCTCGGAGCTCCCTACTGGTAGGGATCCCCTCCGGATCTACACGGACTTTATATGATCCCAGACGGATCCTAGCCGGTACTGTATGGGAACCCCTACGGATCCAATACAGACTGTAAATGGATCCCCTACGGAATCTAGACGGACCTGTATGGGATCCCATACGGATTCTATAACGGCCTGGATGGAAATCCCTACGCCCTATACCCTGATAAATCCCATACGAAATCCTAATACGACGCCGTAACATGGATCCCCTACGGATCCTAGACGGACTGTATGGGATCCCATACGGATCCTATACGGCCTGTATGGGATCCCATACGGATCCTATACGGCCTGTATGGGATCCCATACGGATCCTATACGGCCTGTATGGGATCCCATACGGATCCTATACGGCCTGTATGGGATCCCATACGGATCCTATACGGACTGTATGGGATCCCATACGGATCCTATACGGACTGTATGGCATCGCATACGGATCCTCTACGGACTGTATGGGATCCCATACGGATCCTATACGGACTGTATGGGATCCCATACGGATCCTATACGGATTGTATGGGATCCCCTACGGATCCTATATAGACTGTATGGGATCCCCTACGGATCCTATACGGACTGTATGGGATCCCCTACGGATCCTATACGGACTGTATGGGATCCCTTACGGATCCTAGACGGACTGTATGGGATCCCCTACGGAAATCCTTATAAGGGAATCCTATAGGATCTCCTACGAATCCTATGGGATACTGGATAGAATTCCCATACGTGCCCGATGCAGACTGTATAGGATCCATAACGGATCCCTGATACAGACTTGTATGGTATCCCCTTACTGATCCTATACAACTGGTATGGGAGTCCCCTACGATCCTATACAGACTGTATGGTCCCCTATACGATCCGATACGACTGTAATGGGGTCCCATTACGGGATCCTATACGACTGTATGGTATCCCCTACGGATCCTCAACGGACTGTATGGGATCCATACGAAATGCCTTTACGGAACTGTATGGGATCCCATACAATCCTTACTTGGATCCGTATGGATTCCCATACTTCCGTATAGATCCTTATGGGATCGCATACAGTCCGTTTATAGGAATCCGTCAGGTGTCGAGCCATACAGGCCGTTTAGAGCCCGGAATGGGATACCCTACATTCTGGATGAAATTAAGGCCGCGCCCTGTAGGGGTCCTATGGGAGTCCTATGAAACCCTGTAGGCGTCCGATGGGAGTCCTATGGAACCCTGTAGGGGTCCCATGGGAGTTTTAAGGAACCCTGTCTGGGTCGTATGGGAGTCCTATGAAACCCTGTAGGGGTCCTATGGGCCTCCCATGGAACCCTGTAGGGGTCCTATAGGAGACCGATGGAACCCTGTACGGGTCCTATGGGCACCCGATGGATCCCTGTAGGGGTCCTATGGGAGTCCGATGGAACCCTGTACGGGTCCTATGAGAATCCGATGGAACCCTGTAGGGGTCGTATGGGAGTCCGATGGAACCCTGTACGGGTCCTATGGGGGTCCCA